CTGATGCTGCTTGGCCTGCTGTGTTCATCCAGCTCTACACCTTGTTATCTCTAATGTTCTGGGGGCCCAGGTTGAAATCCGGCCACAGCAGCTGGTGGGATTTGAATTCAATAAACATCTGGGAATTAAGAATCTAATACAACCGTGAATCCATTGTCAGGGGAAAAACCCATCTGGTTCACCAATGTCCTTTAGGGAAGTAAACTGCCATCCTTACCTGGTCTGGCCTACAGACCCAAAGCAATGGGGTTGACTCTGAACTGCCCTCTGGGCAATTGGGAATGGGCAATAAATGTTGCCTGGCCAGAGATGCCCTTATCATGTTAATGAATGAAATAAAATCTCAATTTAGCTAACAAGACATCCTTACGCCAACATGACCCGGCACATAGAGCGCGCTTAAAATTCAGCAACTCTTCAGAATCCCTACAGTGCAGAAAGAGACCATTCGGCTCATAGAGTCTGCGCCGACCTTCTGAAAAACGTCCCACCTTATCCCCGCAATTCCCACAGTTAATCCACCCAGCCTGCACATCGCTGCGCACTACAGGGCATTTTAGCATGGCCAATCCACCCTAACCTGCACATCTTTGGACTGTGGGAGGAAACCGTAGCACCCGGAGGAAACCCACGCAGACACGGGGAGAATGTGCAAACTCCACACAGACAGTTGCCCGAGGGTGGAATCAAACCCAGGTCCCTGGCGCTGAGAGGCAGCAGTGCTAACCACTGAGCCACCGCACCACCTATCATGTCACCTCTAATATTCCATAAAAATATTTAACATTCTGCCACATTCTTCCTGGTATCCACCCTCTCAAGTCCTCTCAGGATCTTACATGTTTCAATAAGATCTGGCTCCTTCTTCGAAACTCTAATGGGTAAAGGTCCAAATGTTCTTTGTCCCAAGGATGAGTCAAGTGAACTTTCTCTGAACTAGTTCAAAAGCAATTATATCTTCAATTAAGGAGACCAAAACTGTAGCGAATGTTCTAAATGCTGTCTCACCAATACCCTGTAAAACTGCAGAACTGTTCTGAGGAAGGGTCACCGGACCCGAAACGTTAATTCTGATGTTTTCTTCACAGATGCTGCTGAGCTTTTCCAGCAACCTTGTTCATGAATTGTCTGTTGTCTGTTCCCTAGGGTGGGGGGATTTCAAGACTAGGGGGCACAGTTTTACGGTGAGAGAAGAGAGATTTTAAAAAAGACATGAGGGGAATTTTTTTTTTACACAGGGGATTGTTTGTGTGTGGAATGAACTTCCTGAAGAAGTGTGGATGTTTAAAAAACACTTAGATAAGTACATGAATAGGAAAGGTTTGGACGGATATGGCAGGTGAGATTGGACTATGTTTGGGATTATGTTCGGCACAGACTGGTTGGACCGAAGGGTCTGTTTCCGAGCTGTAGGATTCTGTGACTCTCTAAGACATTAAGAATGTGGAATTCTCCACTAAACGAGAGAGTTAAAGCAAGTGAGATTAATGTTCTCAAGGGACAGCCAGACTTTAGGATGATAAATTCCAACGAAGAAGGACAGTAGGAGTTTGGACTGGGCAATAAATTCTAGCACAGACTGGCTTGGCAGAATGGCTTTACATTCATGCCAACTCACCAATGCCAACCACAATCTACCTCCAATCCTACTCTCTGCTCATCACTCATCTTCTCTAAGCCTCCCCATAAACAGTTTTACATTCTGCTCAGGAAGGATGTAGACACCTCGGCTATAACTTAATGCATTGTTGAAGGATATCAGTCAGGCCTTAGCACAGCGGAGGTAACAGAGAGATAGCAAGAGCTGCCGATGCTAGAGTCAGAGATAACACAGTGTGGAGCTGGAGGAACACAGCAGGCCAGGCAGCATCAGAGGAGCAGGAAAGTTGACGCTTCGGGTCAGGACCCTTCTTCAGAGAGGTGTTTCTTATTATTCCTAGGAGCTCAGGTTCTGTTCCCAAACGCGCCCGCATAGCAGGAGATCACCTGATCATTGACCAAGTGGATTATTCTGTCAATGGAACATGGACGTGCGAAGCCTGGAATGATCTTGGCAAGGGGAAAGGAGAAATTGTAGTTGAAGTGAGAGAACCAGACTCGCTCCATGCAGGTAAACTCCAACTGTACAACTAAAGTCAACTTTGCCTTTTGGAGGTGGAAAGACTTTTTTTGTCTTAACCAATGCGTGTGACAATCATAGAATCCTGACAGTGCAGATAGAACCATTCAGCCCATCAAATCATCACCGATCCTCCAAAGAACATCCCACCAAAACCCAGCTCCCTACCCATCCACATAAGGCCACTTGAACCATAGCTGACCCACCTAGACAACACATCCCTTAGATACTACGGGGCAACTTAACATGGTCAGTCCACCTAACCTACATGTCCCTGGACACTGGGGGGCAATTTACCTTGGTCAATCCACCCTAAACTGTACATCCCTGGGCACTATGGGCAATTTAGCACGGCCAACCCACACTAACCTGCACATCTCTGGACACTACAGGGCAACTTAGCACGGCCAACCCACCCTAACCTGCCTAGATACTATGACACAATTTAGCATGGCCAATCCACCCTAGCCTGCACATCCCTGGGCACTATGGGTAATTTAGCATGGCCAATCCACCCTAGCCTGCACATCCCTGGGCACTATGGGTAATTTAGCATGGCCAATCCACCCTAGCCTGCACATCCCTGGGCACTATGGGTAATTT